AGTTTGAACACCCCTGGGGGTTTTCTTCCTAAAGGGTTAGGGATGCAAGGATCTTGTAATTTGACAGCTTTAAGACTTGTGGACTTCAACTCCCAGAATTCCTCCTCTCGCTCTTCATCTTGATGATGTGCAGATGGGCGGGGAGAGGGAGCTGGAACCGGTTCTAAATGGCACTCTATAGAAGAGGTTAGAACTGGCAGGAACCCACCCCTGGCACAAACATTACTTTGAACTTTGGACTTCAGGAAATCAAAGGGTATGGTAGTTACATAATCTTTGTTTAAGTACAAATCCGGCTTTCCCTGGACATGTTTCTCCTGTATGTTGCAGACTGCGTAATTTAAGGCAGCTTGTGGTTTAAAGTACAGAGTTAGCAAAATCTCTCGTTAAAAGTACACCATAGGTTCAATGGTCAACCTACCTACAAAAAATGTCAATGCATTCCAGTAATGAAATATAGCCGTATTGAGAATGTTCTTTTCTGGACTTTATCTGTGCCTCTATTTTTGAACTGGAAAAAAAATGGTTTTGAACTAGCTGGTCCACTTGAAGGGAAGATCCGTGGGAAATGAGCTGTGCATATAACAGAAGAAATGTGGAAGAAAAGTGATGGGCTGAATCCAAATATTGTACTAAGTCACAGTTGGTTTTAACAAGAGTAGCCAAATAATCCATGGTTGTAGGTACATCACACATCATTTTAGACAAACACAATACTTGGTGTCATGTAGGAACCTAAGCTGTAGAGAAATTTGGAGACACCCTTGAAAATGGAATGTGAGAGCAGTTATATAAATACCAGTTTAGCCTTGAGTAAGGAGAGATTAGAAATAAATTTAAGATTATCCTCCCTTGTTTGTCTTTGGTATAAGAAGGGAACAGCTTTCCAGATTCTGTTACTATACCTTATAACAATAAAGAAGAGTTCCAGTAGTTCTTGTGATATCTGTTTCTTGACCCGGCCCATTTCAAAGGATTGACAGCCATACATAGATGGGAGAAAATAAAGATGAGTCCTACAGTGAGGAGAACGTCTCAGTGGCTAAAACACTGAACTTGTCAATCAGAAAGGTCAGCAGTTTGGCGGTTCGAATCCCTAGTGCTGTGTAACAGAGTGAGATCCTGTTACTTGTCCCAGCTTCTGCCAACCTAGCAGTCTGAAAGCATGTAAAAATGCAAGTAGAAAAATAGGAAACACCTTTGGTGGGACGGTAACAGCATTCCGTGCGCCTTTGGCATTTAGTCATGCCGGCTACATACCATGGAGATGTCTTCAGACAGCACTGGCTCTTTAGCTTTGAAATGGAGATGAGTATCCCCCCCCCCCTAAAATTGGGAATGATTAGCACATATGTGCAAGAGGAACTTTTACTTTTACCTTACAATGAGGAATTGTGTAAGAGATGTGTGAAGTTTGGTCACCTATCTTCTCTACTCCTTAATATCCTTTACGGATAGTTTTTCTCTTAAAGATAGACAACACACACCCCAAACCTAGCAAGAAGGGATTATCAAACAAAGGTACACATTCTGAAACAAATAATTTAATTATGTGTCTTCCAATCGTATGACACTTAGTAACGACATAGAAAGATTTCACCAGGATGATTTACACCCTACCGGGCCCCTACCGTGCCCACTCGATCTTTCAATATTGGATCGATTACCACTCTAATCAAGTCATCCTTGGAATGGAATGGAATAAGTTTATTTATAGGCCGCCCTTTTCCCTGAGGGGACTCAGGGCGGCTAACAACTTATANCAGCCAGGTTTTAACGGCTTTGCGGAAGGCCTGGAGGGTAGTGAGGGTTCGAATCTCCACGGGGAGTTCGTTCCAGAGGGTCGGAGCAGCCACAGAGAAGGTGGTCTTTGGAGTGGCTATAATTGCTTGATTTCAATGTCTAAGCAAGCTAGTTCACAGCTGCTGAAAAAGCCAATGCAGTCCTAGGCTGCATCAGCAGAGGGATAGTATCAGGATCACATGAAGTGTTAGTACAGGTAGTCCTTGACTTATAAAGTCCATTTAGTGATGGTTCAAAGTTACAAAGGCACTGAAAAAAGTGACACATTGTTTTTCACACTTACAATCATTGCAACATCCCCATGGTCATGCAACCAAAATTCAGATGCTTAGCAATTGACTCTTTTATAACAGCTGCAGTATCCAGGGATCATGTCCTCACCTTTTGCTACTTTTTGACAAGCAAAGTCAGTGGGGAAACAAGAATCACTTAACCGCTGTGTTACTAACTTTACAACTGCAGTGATTCACTAACAACTGTGGCAAGAAAGGCCCTAAAATGGGAAGGAATTCACCAACTGTCTCACTTAGGAACAGAAATGTTGAGCTCAACTGTGGTCATAAGTCGAAGACTACTTGTACTGCTTTAGACTGCACTGGTGAGGCCACACTTGGGATACTGCATCTAGTTTTGGTCATCATGACTCGGAAAAGATGTTGAGAAAGAGTCCAGAGAAGAACAGCAAAGAGGATTAGAAGACTTGAAGCTAAACCATGTGATAAACAGTTGTGGGAACTGGGTGTGTGGGAACCCCAGCCCTACTCTGACAAGTTATGACTAGAAAGGAATCTAGTTAAAAACTAATCAATGTTAAAATATCTATCTACCATGTGTATCTCTGTCTCTCTGTCTCTCTGTCTCTGTCTCTCTGTCTCTGTCTCTCTGTCTCTCTCTCTCTCACTCTCTCTCTCTCACTCTGTGTGTGTGTGTGTGTGTGTGTGTGTGTGTGTGTGTGTGTTAAAATATC